CCCCGTTCCCATTATTCTGTATCTTTTCAAGTATAGGTGGAGGTGTAAGAATCCGGCCAGGTGTGAAGCATCACCTAAAGCTGAAGGACAGAAGCTCATCCCAGGGACAAGTGGGAGGTGGGTGTGAGGAATACAGGAAATTGAGGTATTTGATATGACCGACAGTTTTATGTTGTGTCTGGTGGGCAAAAGATCTTTCCAATTCAAGTTCACAGACAGCGGACCTCTGACTACGAGTAGGAGCAACACATATGAAAAGCTAACAGGACACGTTCTTGGGAGCAGGGTCAATGCTAAGGAGATCCTGTTATGCTTTTGGTCCCTGAGAAGGCAGAACACCGAGATTCCATCCTGTCCTGCTTGAGCTACATCCTTGGTGTCAAACAGTGAGGCCAACGCCCTCACACCACTGGAGCCCATGAGTCGTGGGCAGGACTAACCAGAAGCTGCTTCCCTTTCCAGCTTCCTACTTGGTCACAGGAAGCCCAAGTCAGGATCAAGTCTGCATCAGAGAAGAGCCCTGGGCGTAGGTCTGCAGACAACCAGAGTGTTTGCTGGGCTCTTCCAGACAAGCTAAGCAGGCTAGAAAAGAGGTCTCTCTCCCAATGAGACTCAGGCAGCACGTTGGTGGCCTATGTTCATCAACACCTGGGTCACCATGGACTGAAGTGCATGTCCTCACCTGGGAGACACTGGTCTCGAGTGCTTTGCAACTGTCTAGGAACTGGTCTCTAGAGGTGAGCACAGCAGTTACACAGACCTGAGCCGTCAAGGAGAGCGAGAGGTGGCTACATCTCTTCACAGCTCCTTCCTATCAGACAGGAAACCCAAAGAGGAGGAACAAAGAGCAACCTACTGCTGCTGGCATGGACTCCAGCAAATAAAACCAAGGACAGCAAACTGGCTTGGAAAGGAGGAACTGAGGTGTTTCTTATTGCTGAACCAAGAGCAGTGATCTAATTCACTAGCATTCTAATGTGAAAAGACAGTAATGCTATCTGAGTGATGATCCTCCTGGAAGACCCAACCGTGGGCAGGTCTTGCCTGCCCCCCCACCCCCCGTGTGGCCGGGAGCCAACTGCCCCCTTCTCCAGAACCTTCTCTCAAGAGATGGAGCAGCCCTGCAGAAAGCAGAGCCCCCAGGGTGGCCTTGGTGCTGGGTTGAATTAGAATCCTTCGTAGGCTCTACGCTGGATCAGGGAGCAATCTTTTTAAACGCAGATTCCGATGACAGAATAAGGCATTGGCCAAGTAGGGGAGGAGAGAAATGTCTATTTAAGTATCTATCCAGAGTATATCTGCATGTTGTGATCACAAATATGATTTTAGAGGAGGCCTGAAGACTAGTAGACAGTGGGTATTTTTCTTAGTTTTAGCAGAGATAAAACTCAAAGTCTAGTATAATGAAAAAGTTCCATATGTATTTCTACCGAGACCCATTAATTAGCACTCTAAGCCCTCCCCGAAAGCTCTCACTTCAAGACTTTTTTCTCTGCAATTCCACATGAATTTGGGAGATAAGCACTATTATATCAGAAGCTATACGCTCTAGGTCGAACTTGACGATTAGGCTGTTATACCTGCTGGTCACGTCCATTCCTTTGAGGCTAGTCACACACATGAAATACAACGGACCGCGTGGGCTCTGTTCCACTAGAAGGAAAGCTGCACATCCTACTGAAGTATCTGCTGATGGGATGTAAACCTGGGAGACATGTCTGTCCTGGGACCAGCCTCCTCAAGAGGAGGCACATCATCAATACTTTGAGATTTTGTTTTACTCTAAAAAAGACATAGGGATGATTATCCAGAAAGTGTCTTCTTGAGTATCCGTGGTGTAATTGTGAATGAAAATGAAATAAAGACACAACGGATGCACTTCAACTAAACTTCACACACAGGTTGTAGCAAAATAAACACGGTATTTCCGTCTGGCCCGTAACCTTCTCAGTAGCATATGTGTGCAGACACACGTACTCTTTCAATATCTCACACAAGGATCCCTACCTGGGAAACTATTTTTTATGCCTGAAAGGATACTACTTTATATTTTCAGAAAGCTCAGTTCAATAAATTAAGGCCCGTAATTCCTAAAAATACTGGTGATTGAAGAAAAAACCTTCGAGAGCTGAAGGAAAGAATGAGGAACCTTTGAGCACTTATTAACTATCAGTGAGCATATTATCCCTGCCTTCCGACGTGGCACCGTCCCCCACTGAGAGAGAACGTCTCACACGCAGGACATGATGTCGCGATGAAACACGCCACTGTCTCCTCTGTCCCACTTAACACACATGGAAGGTTACCACGGACAGACGAAGGATCTCTTTGATCCAAATACCGGCATAATGAATGGCTATTGTGCATTTAGGAAGTTGAATGAGGCTGGGGGAGTAACTGTGGGGTGTCGAAGCTCTGCCTTCTCAAACAACAGGGAGCTGCCCAATTAACTGTTTTCCTTTTTGCTAGAAATTCTCTGGAAACTCGCTGTGTGTTCCAGTCCCACCAGCCTCCACTTGGTCGTGTCCTTTACCTGTTCCTGTATCACAGGGAACTTGATACGTGTGCTGAAGAGCCACCCTCTCGTCTAACAGTCTTATGATCAAGTTGAATAATTTATTTCTTCTGAGTGGCCACATGTTCACTGGAAGAGAACCTGGGTCTACTGGGCACTGGATCCCAGTTACACAGACGGAACGCAAATAAAAGACCTCCTGCTACGTACATCAGCTGTCTTTAGCCGGACAATAACCGCATGCTAACAGGCTCCGTTCTTTCTAATGTATCTTCAGTATTGACTCTCTTCCAACTTTATTTATTAAAACCCCTTTACATATTTATGTTTTAAAGAGTGAAATATTAAAGAGATCCATCAAGGAGGTGGCGTTATTCTAAGCTAAGGGAACATACGCACAGTCATAGTCGAATTAAGTGACTAGTTTAAGTGGTAAAGGCACTGAAATTGACCTAAGCTATTGGAAGCTGTCCGGGAAGCGGAGCCCGGGCAGCCAGTCACTCCTCTCTCCACCTGTGGTTAACATGTCTTGGAGTGGGGGTAGGGAGAGGCAGCTCATTACAGGATTAAAAACATTAAATTAAATGCATATGCCTCTTACTTGGATGAGGTCACACAGGCTGAATGCAAAATAACACAACTACGGGTCCATGGACTGTACAGTCAGATTGCAAGACCATCTCTCTCACTTCCCAAGTAATCATCTGAGTAAGAGTATCTGCTCCCCCCCCAAAGCCCAGCCAGAAAGAGCCCATCTTTATTTCCTATCTAAATGACGTGAAAAGGTCTGAAAAGAAAGAGTATTTATGAAAGCTTCCGGTTAATGGCAATGAACATGGATTCTTCTCATCAGAGAGATGACGCCCAGGCGACCAGGTGGCAACTTCAGCCGGCAGAGGGCTGCCCCACCTGGTGCCCGGCGGTGCCTGTGCCCACGACCACACACTGATACACAAGCCTCTCTATGCCAGTGACGCGGGGGCTCTCCTACTTCGCCTCAGCTCAGGAACAAGAGCCGTACCCACGTCCCGCTCCTCGGCCTCCCCACCCCTGCCGCACCCTAGTCTGTTTTCATGTTGGACTTGTTCATTTCCCCAAGGCTGAAGTTGAACTCCTTGAACACCTGTATGAGCACAATGCCCACGGAGACCGTGGTGAAGCCACAGGCCATCCCCAGGAAGTCCACCAGGCCCACGTTGCTCCACTCGCGGAACAGGATGGCGGAGGCCAGCAGGACCAGCGTGGTGAAGACCACGTAGTAGATGGCCCCGAACACGGACGAGTCGAAGCACTCGAGCGCCTTGTTGATGTACCTGAACTGGACGATGATGCTGCAGCCGAGCACGGCCAGGAGCACCAGGCACAGGCAGAGGGCGCGCTGGCTGGACGGGTTGTTGTGGAAGAGGTCCTGGGCCGCCAGCCCGATGCCCTTGGTGGAAGGCACGGTGAAGCTGCCCAGCAGGGAGCAGATGCTGATGTAGACCATGATGTTGGTGGGCCCGTGGGCCGGCGCGATCCAGAAGATGAGCAGCAGCAGCATGAGCAGCACGATGCACAGGTAGCCCACGAACACTGCAAAACACCGCGGCCCGCGTCAGAGGCGGTCGGCCAGCGCCAGGCGGCCTGCCTGTGGGCGCGTGGGGGGCGTTAAAGGACACCGGGAAAGCCCCGGGGTAGCCGCGATGGGGACGGAGGGCTGCATCCCACGCAGACGCCAGGGCCCTGGGTGCGCGGACAGTTCCACACGCTCAGAGCGCCCTGCTCCCCTCACAACGCCCGCCTACCTCCTTGGACTGGTGAGTCAAAATATGCTCATAACAATCAGAGCCCAGAGCCTGCTTTATGTATAAAGCAAAGCAATTTTTCCATGGATTTAATCTACGCTGAATTTTTCAGACCTTCATCAAGACTTATCCTAAAAAAGCAAACAAATAAATAAACAAAACCCTGGCTGGTGTGGCTCCGTGGTTTGTGTATCCTCCGGTGCACCGAAGGGTGGCTGGTTTGATTCCTGGTCAGGGCACCTGTCCAGGTTGGGGGTTCGGTTCTGGGTTGGGGGAAAGAGTCGATTGATGTTTCTCTCTCTCTCTCTCTCCCCATAAAATGAATAAAAACGTATTTTTTAGAAGAACACCCTCTCTAAATATCAATGGAAAAAATATCCTTGGGTGAGGATTGACATCAACAAAAAAGAGAGAGACCTCTGTGGGGAATGTGAAGGTAAATGGAACCAGGTCAGGGCTCTCAGCTGCACACCCGGGGGAGGCGCGGGGGCCGGGAAGCACGAGGTCCCCAGCGTGTGGCCTAGAGCAGACCCGGAGGACAGGCACCGGGAGACAGGGGCACTCCGCACAAGGACAGCAGAGCGCCTGGGGGACACGCCACGGTGCTCGCGGGGCGCTAGAAAGGGGTCACCTGGGTTGGTCAGCTTCTCCTCCAGCTCGGCCTGCGTGGTCACGCTCTCGGATTTCGGGGAGTGGATAATTAGCACGACAGAACCCGCACAGCTGAGCAGACACCCCAACTTGCCCAAGATGTTGAGCTTCTCCTTCAGAAGGTAAGAGGCTAAAATGGACCTTCAATGAAAAAAAGAGAAATCGAAGTTGGAATCGTACCACCTGACCTGTTTCTACTCATTGCAGTTACTTTAGAAAAGCCCCTTTTCTTTAGAGCCTTGGCATATCGGGGCGATGCTCTAACCAACTGAGCTACCCGGCTGGCTGGGGCCTATTTCATATTTATAGGCCATCTGCCTATCTTCTCTGGAGAAATGTCTGCTCAGATCTCTAGCCCATTTTTCAACTGGGTTATTTATCTTTTGGTTGATGTGTTATAAAAGTTTTTGTAGAGTTTAAATACAAGTCTATTATCAGACATGTAATTTGACATTTTTCCTAACCTTCTGTCAGTTAACTTTCCACGTTCTTTCTCCCCTAGCTTGAGAGTTAATTGACATATAACACTGTCTAAGTTTAAAGTAAGAAATGTATTGATTTGATACATATTTTACAAAGTAATTACCACCATAGTGTTAGCTAACACCCTGCCACACCTCATCATTACCGTTTCTCTTTTGTGATGAGAAAAGTTAAGATCTACTCTCTTAGCAACTTTCAAGTATATAATACAGTGTCATTACTATAATCACCACGCTGCACATCAGATCCCCAGAACTAACTCGTAACTGAAGTCTGCACCCTTTGGCCTACAGTCCCCATCTCCCCAACCCCAGCCCGTGGTACCACCACTTTAGTCTCTGCTTCTGTGAGTTTGGTTCTTTTAAATTCCACATATAGCCTGGCTGGTGTGGCTCAGCAGTTGAGCATCGACCTAGGATCCAGGAGATCGCAGTTTGATTCCCAGTGAGGACACATGCCCGGGTTGCAGGCTCAATCCTCAGCAGGGGGCGTGTGGGAGGCAGCCGATCAATGACTCTCATCACTGATGGTTCCCTCTCTCTCCCTCTCCCTTCCTCTCTCTGAAATCAATAAAACTATATTTTTAAAAATTCCACATACAAGCGAGTCATGTGGTATTTGCCTTTCTGTCTGAATTATCTCACTTGGCATAATGCTCTTAAGGTTCATAAAAGTTTTTACAAATCACAGAATTTCCCTGTTTCTCCTGGTTAAATAATATTCCTCTGTGTGTGTGTGTGTGTGTAGCACCCCTTCTTTATTCATTCCTCTGCTGATGGAGACTTAGACTGTTTCCATATTTGGCCATGGTAAATAATTCTGCTGTGAACATGGGAGTGCAGCCATCTCTGAGATTTTGTTTTCCTTTGCTGCCGGATCATGTGGCAGCTCTAGTTTTAACTTTTTGAGGAACCTCCATACTGTTTCCAGAGTGACTGCATCCAGTGTGAAGGCTGAGAAACCCTGATAGAGAGAAAGCACCTGATGGAGCACGTGGGATAAAATGTCAACAGTGGATATGTCTGGGCGAGGGGCATGTGGGTGTTGTTTTATTTCATAACCTGATAACTTTCTGTAATTGAGAAATTATTTCAAAATCTCTTAAAATCTTTTTTATTTTTTAAAAATATTTTTATTGCCCTAGCCGGTCTGGCTCAATGGTTAGAGCATCAGCCCACAGACTGAAGGGTCCTGGGTTTGATTACAGCCAAGGGCATATACCTGGGTTGTAGGCTCGATCCCCAGGCCTGGTCCAGGCACATGCGGGAGGCAACCAATCAACGAGTCTCTCTCATGTTGAAGTTTCTCTCTCTCTGTCTCCCCCACTCTCTCTGAAAAGCAATGGAAGAAATAACTTTGGGTGAGAGTTAAAATAGATATATATTTTTATTGAGCAAGGAAGGGAGAGGGAGAGAGAAACAGCAACATGAGAGGGAAACACTGATTGGCTGCCCCCATACACACCCCTACGAGGGACTGAGCCCGCAACCTGGGCATGTGCCCTGACAAGGAATGGAACCGGAAACCTTTCAGTGCAGGGGACAATGCCCAACCAACTAAGCCTCACCAACCAGGGCATATTTATGCTTTTTAGGCGACAGAACCTGAAAGCCTAACAACACAAAATTAAATACACCCATCCCAGACACACCTCTCTGTAAGGACTCAGGGCCTGTCTGGAACAGCAGAATACTAATGTATTCTGAGTTAGAGACTTGGATTTTATTTCTCGTCTATCACATCTTGACGATGTCTTCAAATGTAAAACAGAATATAAATAGGTTCACGGGAGGATATGTGTGGAGCTATTTAGTAAACGTCTCATACAATCATTTTTGTTGGCAATAAAGCGTAATAAAAAGACTCCATTTGTGATGTGTGGTGGTGGCTGGAGACCTTCAGGTCCCCACTCCTTCTTCTTCCCCACATCTGGGCAACCTGATAAGAAAGCCTGCACATACCCTTAGGTCCTGGTGTCCTCGGTCCCTTGGACTGGCAGAAATGTCAAACCATGCGAGCCCCAGGCTGGGCTTGGAGACCTCCACCTGGCTCACCTCCCACGACAGTGAAAACCCAAAGCCTCACCTATCGCTCGGTTCACTGCGGACCAAACCAGAGCCCCTCTCCTGGGGGGGCCCATTCGCTGTTGACTCTGAGGAGGCGTAAGTCCTGTCACCCCCCCACTGGTTCCCGTGTGAGATTCGTCCCAACCTCCACAATTTCCCGGGGTGGGGGGATGCTCAGTGTCCAGCAGGGAATGGTAGGTGCCCAAATAAAATACAAACTGAGCAGTTTTGCTTAATGACTTCTCAGCATCACCTGCCAAGGTGCCAGGAAAACCCTCGTCCCTAGGAAGTCTTCCAGGGCACACGCAGAGTGACACCACGCCACTCAGGGACAGCCCTGAGAAAGCTGGGATTTGAAGTGTACTAAAGCATATTTCCAAGAGAAACGTGACTCACACAACTACACTTGAAGGAGTGAAACTGAACCACAGAGCCCTGGCCGGTGCGGCTCCGTGGTTGGGGCGCCCGCCCGAGCACCCAAGGGCCTCGGGGTTGAATTCCGGTTAAGGGCAAACAGCAGGCTGCAGGCTCGATCCAAACCAATGGAAACAATACTCTCAGGTGAGCACCGGCGACAAAAACTACACCATCCAGGGCAGAATGCGAAGGCCTGTCCTCAGCCACCGTCTTACCCTTACTGCGTGAGCAGCAACACTGAGAAGAAGAGGGTTTTAAACACAGCCAAAGAGCACGTGAAAAACCAGAGAAAGCAAGCAGCTCTCACCCGAAGGGCACGCCCAGGGCGCCCAGAGGCGTCACCAGCACGGTGGGCACCGCGGTGTAGGCCAGGAAGTTCCCGATCTGCCCGACGGCCACTGTGGAGAGAGCGCGGGTGACGGCGCCCACGGGGCCGGGGCGCGGAGAC